GTATGAAGTTGATTAAAACGACCATCAAGAAGATAAAGACAATCTTCAAAACATTCTACTCTGATATTCTACGTATATATTTAGACAAAATTCTTTCATCTGGTATTTTAAAAGATCAGATTACAACACTTTTTGTTTCAATTGATAATAATAACAAGGCACAATTGACAACGATAAACATATGCAATTGCATCTTGACTGTTTTTACCAGTCTAATTTGTTTAACATTATATGAATCATCGTATAAAAATCGTGTTATATTATACTTTGATGATGCATTTCTTCCTACTTTTCGTTCTTCCACTCTTTTGAAATTGAATATCAGAGTAGAATGTTTTGAAGATTGTCTTTATCTTCTTGATGGTCGTTTTAATCAACTTCATACGCTCTATGTTGATCTGGTGAATATGAGTGATGTACCTGAAATTCAAAATCAAGTTAGTTTTACAAGGAAAACTTTTATGTTGTCAAATAGCAAAACAAATTTTATTTTTTAGAGCGACTTACCAAATTTAAAGTGTTTTACTCTGTCATGTAATTGGGAAGAATTGAATTATAATAAAACAATCCTCCCACTTCTCATTCGAATGTCAAATCTAGAGGAACTCGGTTTGTATTTTGTAGTTGATGTTTATGAAACATTTATTGAAGGAAACCATTTGAAGAAAAACATTATTAATCGTATGCCAAGATTAAATCAATTTACATTTTATATTCGCTCAGTCATGTTTCTTTGTAATCAAATGAATTTTTCATCAACAGAAGATATTCAACGCACATTCATTGACTTTCCAAATGAAATTATTTCTTATGTTGATTATTTGCCAGAGACACGAGAAGGTCGATGTCATATTTACTCATATCGATCTATTACGCCATATTACGGCGATATTACAAATAATTTCCCAGGTGGATTCTTTAAATATGTTCGTGTAGTGTCATTATGTGATGAACATCCTTTTGAACATGAATTTTTTCTTCGAGTTGCTCAATCATTTCCATTTGTGGAAAAATTATCTTTGATTAATGATAAATCACAAGATCGCAAACAATCTTATGAATCAAACAATGATAATCAAAATTTATCTATTATTGAATATTCGTTTCTTCGTGAACTTAATCTTCTCAGTGTTCATGATGATTATATAGAAGACGTTCTATTTAATAGTAAAACGTATTTGCCAAATAATGTTACTCTTTATATTAAATATAAGTCTTTAGAGCGAGTAACACACAATTTCACACGTGATGCTACACGAATTAATTGTGCCAAAATAAATGAATTACAATTAAGTGTTAAAACCAAATGTTCCAATTCTTCTTTACAAGAATATTTTCCTTATGCAAAAATATGTTATCCAGACATATTCTAAAATACAAAACAATAAAACATTCAATTTAAAACAGAATAAAATAAGAGAAAATTCTCTTGTCTATTGTTGTAAGAAAATAAAATCTATATAGAGATGAAAATGATTTTGTAATAAGTAGTAATCTGTGAAATAAAGTAGTTTTGTTTGAATAAATATGTGTATAATGTATTGAGTTGGAAGATAAATTCTGCAAATTTTTTTTTGTTTAGTAATAAATTTGTTTTACGACAAAGATATGTAACATCAATCAACAATATTTGTTGATCTTGCTGACAATTGTTCAATTTCACGTTTGTAGCAACCAGCGGTTGTGATTCAAAAAAGGTAGTGACGTCAGATTTGAGTTCATCGAAGTGTTCGTATGGTTCTCATATAGATGTTTTCGAAGAGATCGAAGTAAATGATGATAAGATGATGCAAGATCTGATAAGTACGATCTGTGCGCAAGAACTTCTCGTACCAACTTTCTAATTTTGTGCTGACTCATCTTTTCAACGTGTGGTTTCTGTGTTGTCATTCAGAAGAATGACGCTTTTTCGGTTCGCTAAAACCGATCGCTTTTGAATTAGAGCTTCATGCAAATGCTGCAACTGTTGAGAGTAAACATTGACGGTACTCGTCTGATTAGTGTCTAAGAGCTCGAAATATATGACACCTTTCATATTTCACCATACGCACAGCATTGTCTTCTTTGGATGTAGGTCTGCTTTTGGCGTCGGTAGTGTTTTTTGCTCAGGACCAAACTATTAGTTCCTGCAGCAGACGTCCACGTGAGGATGTGGGTGTGGACGGGTGTGCTTGTGCTTATGAGTGTTCTGTTAACCCACATCCCAACCATACCCACACCCAGATCCACCCACATCCGCAATACTTCACTCATGTCTTACGAACTAATAAGATGGTCCACCTAAACCCTTTGTCGATTTCATGTACATCTATTGCTTTATTTATACTTAGGCACTCAGAAAACTCGCTCTTGATGATAATCACATTGGATCAAAGGAAGCAGAATATCTGGTTGATGCTTTACGGGTCAACAAGGTGATCTTCAATCTTATTCTTCATCTTTCTCATTTCAGTCATTTTCTTCATTCATAGACACGTTCTGTATTCCGTGTTGATGCGAATGAAATCGGAGACGAAAGAGCAAAGTATTTTCTTGCTGTCTTACCACATAACACGGTGAGTTCTTATTCACTTTACATCGTTCTGATATATGTTTTTCTCCTAAAAATATAGACACTCAAGGTTTTGGATCTGTTTACAAACGGAATTTTGCGAGAAATACTACAGCAACTGAGACAGGAGGAACGATGCAACTTTGTTTAGTTTTCATGGTGTCACGATCACCGTCACTAATGATTAGAACTAGATACACTTATGATTTTTTTTATCTCTATGCTTTCGTTCGTTTTCACTATTTTCGTTCTTTATGTGTTTGTGCTATTTTTATGTGTCGTGTCTTATTTAATCAGAACTAATAAAATTTGATGCAATCACAGCGGCACTGATATTAACTTATAGTGAAATAATTCAAATAATTGCCNCCGATATATATCTCCATAGACACGCTACCATAGCTGAGTATATGCTGAGAAAAACATCGCTTTAATTTTAAAACATCTGATAGGATATTGTCCCGTAAACGAAATAATTCTTTCAATAGCATGGATTATCTTTGTGCATGTTGTTGGAAAGTAGCGAAGAGCTTTTGCTTCCAATAGCAATCATTTTAAAACGTATTTGTTTACGCTGAAATAATCAAAGTTTCATTTTCATATCAAACTGAAAGCTATTACGGCACCTGAAAATGTAGATGTCCTCAAATTTTTGGAAGGTACATAAAGAATAGAATCAACACTCACGCCTCCAAAAATCAACAGAAAACTATGTCTTCAGTAAATTATTCAAAATCTTTTACTTGCTTTTGTTATCATAGTGATTCTACTCATTCAGGTTTAGAGGAATCATTCCTCTCATTGAAAAAAGTAGCGTTGCTATTCCATGAATGTACGATGAAGTTGACGAGAAACATTCAATGAACCATGTCATACATTTGCAATGTCGACGAGAGCAACAAAGAGAAGTACCGAATATAAATTTATTGTTTGATTCGTGTATTGATAGTCGATACATACATAAGTAAAGAGGTTATCTGTATGATTACTCAGTTTTTTTTGTACACTGGTTGCAATATGTATAGACGTATGAAGATTACAGATCTGTCAAGCGTAACTAACGTCCTATTATATTTTCTCTACCGTTAAGAATTCAATACAAGCAATAGAAAATCAGCTATGTTGCGATAAAAACTCATTGAGGTCAGTTCTCGAATTATATCAAAGCAGATTATAAGGTTTATTTAATAAATGATGTTGAAAACATTTCTGATATAACTGACAAAAGAAAATCATAAGTATAATTTATTTATATGTTCTATCGAATCTTATCGTTAATTAGGTGTCACAATTGAATATAATTATCTTCTTTTTTTTAATTTTAACTACAAGTAATTAAATAATCATATCAAAAGAAACTATGAGTCAATAATATTTCGATAAAAGAATGTAAAAGAATTTTATTGACATTTATCTGTCTAATGAAAAAAAAATGCTAATTATTTGTTCAATTTTCATCGTTTCAGAATAAACATGAGAGAATTATAATCAGCAAAAATATTTGTCGATATTATTGGATAACTTGTTCGTTTATAACAGTGTTTTACAAAAAGAAAATATTATCTGAAAAACAATTTCTAAATAATATTATTAATTCATTCAAATATGCGATATTCGAAAAAAAGAATAACTCTTGTGTCTATTCCTTCAAATGAATAGTGAATGGTTAAATACAAAAAACAAAGAATCCAGTTGAATGAAAGAGAAATAAGAATAGTTATAGATCACTAATCACTGTCGTGGATATCATAGTTAACAATAATTATCGATTGGTTTTATTTTCTCTTCTAAATAATGTCGTCTATATATGAACATTGATAGTGAATTATTTATTTCGATTAAAAAACAAAAGTTATCATACGAAAATGACATAAATTGAAGTAAAACATAATTTGTTTTCCTAAAAAAAAGTGTTCAAGTAGTAGTGAAGAGAGTTGTTTGTATTACAACTCGCTTTTTGTGTACAGTCGGAAAAGAACAATCATAGAAAAAAAAATTAGAGACAAAAATAAGATTCAATCACATTAACGAAAAGTCTTTAGTAACAATTAAATCTAAAATGATCTATAGATATTACTATGTTTCGTGAAACACAATTGCAAATCAATGTTGAAGTAAATAATAAGAAATTTAGAATTTTTGTTCTCGTTTAGGCTGTGTATATTATTAATGAAGAGAAGATACTAAACTGCGCCTAAAGCCCGATATCAATACTCACAATCAAATTCACGTTCATATACACTTTGATTTGACATTTATTATCTACCAAGTACTAAGTGCAAACTTGGATATCACTAGCTAGAGAATCGCCGTAGACAAGACATTGACAATGGCTTCTCTCAAATGACTTGTCCAAGAGCATGATGATTATATGGTGGCATTCATCTGTTCTGATGATCAACATGTGATTGTATACGGCGACGATCAAGCAATCAAATAATCAAGGTGTGAGTGTAGATCTTCTCTTTCTCTCTACGTCCACATGCCAATAGTTTTGCAGAGCAACGAATTTTCCAGTTTATGAGTTCAGGACTAGATTTTCGAACGATATCTAACTGTCACGAATACTGAAAATAAAATTGAATTATTTATCATGAATCACCTGTTACTTTGAAACAGATCAACGTATTCTTACATTTAGTTCGAGAAATATGCATAAAAAAATAGTGAAAATCGTTCGCTTTTCATTTTCATTGGTTGTCTTTTTTTTTCTTATAAATGACATAAATAAAAAAAAATCGGATTGACTTTTCCACAGATTTATTTATGAATTGCACTTTTTGAAAACATCAGAGCCGATAAAGTAGGCGAATGAACAGCACTTTGAACTTCTATAGACTTTCAACATTATAAAAAGAATAAAAATTTAGAATAAAACATGAACTAATGGAAAGTGAATGTTGTCTAAGGCGTTCATGACTTAATAGAATTGACGCTTTCTCTTTAAATGGATTCTACGACTTCTAAGTAGATTTATTTTGATAGTTTCATCGAATTTGATTCTGATAGAATAGCCAAAAGAAACAAAAATGATTGAAATAAACTTGCAACTCTTAGTTATATTATTACATTAAAGTTACTAAAATCAACGGATTTTTGTTTAATATATTACAAGTTTTTCTCACAAATGTGATAGGTATTCCTAGGAATTAGTAATAGCTTGGAGAATCAAAATGTTTTCTTCAAAAACCAAACATATAGCTTACAAAATAGATCAACAAACTATAAGTGTATGCTGTGAATATAGACAAGATAAATGCGGAAACTTCGGATCTAAATCCGAGAGTTATGTGTACTTCAAAAAGTGAATCATACAAATCAATCATCCTAGACTATCTGAATAACAAAATTATACTGTAAAATCTACCATTTAAAATGTTGATTTATATTGCGCGTTGACAAACCAATAGGATATGGGACCGAACTAAGCTCAAGTTTGAACTCTNGATTTATTTTATTTTATGTTCTTTTATTCTAACCTGTAACAAAAACAAAATTCTAGACAAGTGGTTCTAATCAAACTAAACGCCAAACGTAAAGATCAACATTCGTAATCGATTAATCATAGGAAGAACGATTGATCTATTTACTAATAAAGAGAATAATTAAATATAGAATAAACGTTGTTAACTATTTAAAAAAGTCCGATTAAAACATATTAAATGTAATAGTAGAAGTATATTGACTATTTTATTTAAATAAATTCTATAGAATAGAAAACGAAAGAGAATAAATTGAAATTGTTTTCATTTTGTTTCTACGTTCCCTAGTAAGAATTTATAGTTGAGATCTTTTATGTGAAAATAAATAAAAAATCTTGTA